TTTAACCCTGTAATGTAAAATATAGCAGGGTTTGATTTACCTAGTGTAAATCTTGGTCACATGATGTGGAAGAGCTACAAAGCATTTGTTACAAACTTTGGAGTACAAAGAGAGAGAGAAAAGACAATTACGTATAGGTATCAGTGGATGTATATTCACTTTACTCAGTTATTCTTTACGATTTGGGTCTTGTTGACATTAAAGCGGCACTGTCATGGCCGAATCCTGTTTTTTTTTGTTTTTTTTTTAACCCCTCTCCCTCCTCCATTACATCTAACTGACCCCCTAGTCACAACCCAAATGCCCCTAAGCCCCCCAGATTACCTATTTTTAATCTTTATTTTCTGGCCCGATCTATATTCAGGGCGCCACCATCTTTGTGTGGGTAGAGGAAGTTCCTGTGGGACACGTCATCTGCCCACACTAGATAGCGCTGTAAGATTACCGCACATGCTCAGTGAAACACTTGGGCATGCGAACGGGAATTTCATCTATTCATTCATTCGTCAGAGAGATGAATGAATGAATAGCATTGTCAGACAAACAAACAAACAAACACCGAATATCAATGTTCGTTTGTTCATTCGGTTTAGTACAAGGAGGGAGCTACCAGCGCGCAGCTCCCTCCTTGTAACATGTAAAAAAAGAAGCGGCAGTGAGCTGTGCTCCCCGCCACTTCTTAATCCCCCCATGTCCCCCCTCACTCTATGCGGGTCAATATGACCCCATCATAGCATAAGGGGCTGCTCACTGTTTAAAAAACAAAACCCTATCATCCGGCCCCAACCCCTGCGCAGTGCGTGGGGGCCCTAAATAACAAGGGGGGACCTACTGTCCTTTTAACCCTGTCCTTTTAACCCTGTAATGTAAAATATAGCAGGGTTTGATTTACCTAGTGTAAATCTTGGTCACATGATGTGGAAGAGCTACAAAGCATTTGTTACAAACTTTGGAGTACAAAGAGAGAGAGAAAAGACAATTACGTATAGGTATCAGTGGATGTATATTCACTTTACTCAGTTATTCTTTACGATTTGGGTCTTGTTGACATTAAAGCGGCACTGTCATGGCCGAATCCTGTTTTTTTTTGTTTGTTTTTTTAACCCCTCTCCCTCCTCCATTACATCTAACTGACCCCCTAGTCACAACCCAAATGCCCCTAAGCCCCCCAGATTACCTATTTTTAATCTTTATTTTCTGGCCCGATCTATATTCAGGGCGCCACCATCTTTGTGTGGGTAGAGGAAGTTCCTGTGGGACACGTCATCTGCCCACACTAGATAGCGCTGTAAGATTACCGCACATGCTCAGTGAAACACTTGGGCATGCGAACGGGAATTTCATCTATTCATTCATTCGTCAGAGAGATGAATGAATGAATAGCATTGTCAGACAAACAAACAAACAAACACCGAATATCAATGTTCGTTTGTTCATTCGGTTTAGTACAAGGAGGGAGCTACCAGCGCGCAGCTCCCTCCTTGTAACATGTAAAAAAAGAAGCGGCAGTGAGCTGTGCTCCCCGCCACTTCTTAATCCCCCCATGTCCCCCCTCACTCTATGCGGGTCAATATGACCCCATCATAGCATAAGGGGCTGCTCACTGTTTAAAAAACAAAACCCTATCATCCGGCCCCAACCCCTGCGCAGTGCGTGGGGGCCCTAAATAACAAGGGGGGACCTACTGTCCTTTTAACCCTGTCCTTTTAACCCTGTAATGTAAAATATAGCAGGGTTTGATTTACCTAGTGTAAATCTTGGTCACATGATGTGGAAGAGCTACAAAGCATTTGTTACAAACTTTGGAGTACAAAGAGAGAGAGAAAAGACAATTACGTATAGGTATCAGTGGATGTATATTCACTTTACTCAGTTATTCTTTACGATTTGGGTCTTGTTGACATTAAAGCGGCACTGTCATGGCCGAATCCTGTTTTTTTTTGTTTTTGTTTTAACCCCTCTCCCTCCTCCATTACATCTAACTGACCCCCTAGTCACAACCCAAATGCCCCTAAGCCCCCCAGATTACCTATTTTTAATCTTTATTTTCTGGCCCGATCTATATTCAGGGCGCCACCATCTTTGTGTGGGTAGAGGAAGTTCCTGTGGGACACGTCATCTGCCCACACTAGATAGCGCTGTAAGATTACCGCACATGCTCAGTGAAACACTTGGGCATGCGAACGGGAATTTCATCTATTCATTCATTCGTCAGAGAGATGAATGAATGAATAGCATTGTCAGACAAACAAACAAACAAACACCGAATATCAATGTTCGTTTGTTCATTCGGTTTAGTACAAGGAGGGAGCTACCAGCGCGCAGCTCCCTCCTTGTAACATGTAAAAAAAGAAGCGGCAGTGAGCTGTGCTCCCCGCCACTTCTTAATCCCCCCATGTCCCCCCTCACTCTATGCGGGTCAATATGACCCCATCATAGCATAAGGGGCTGCTCACTGTTTAAAAAACAAAACCCTATCATCCGGCCCCAACCCCTGCGCAGTGCGTGGGGGCCCTAAATAACAAGGGGGGACCTACTGTCCTTTTAACCCTGTCCTTTTAACCCTGTAATGTAAAATATAGCAGGGTTTGATTTACCTAGTGTAAATCTTGGTCACATGATGTGGAAGAGCTACAAAGCATTTGTTACAAACTTTGGAGTACAAAGAGAGAGAGAAAAGACAATTACGTATAGGTATCAGTGGATGTATATTCACTTTACTCAGTTATTCTTTACGATTTGGGTCTTGTTGACATTAAAGCGGCACTGTCATGGCCGAATCCTGTTTTTTTTTGTTTGTTTTTTTAACCCCTCTCCCTCCTCCATTACATCTAACTGACCCCCTAGTCACAACCCAAATGCCCCTAAGCCCCCCAGATTACCTATTTTTAATCTTTATTTTCTGGCCCGATCTATATTCAGGGCGCCACCATCTTTGTGTGGGTAGAGGAAGTTCCTGTGGGACACGTCATCTGCCCACACTAGATAGCGCTGTAAGATTACCGCACATGCTCAGTGAAACACTTGGGCATGCGAACGGGAATTTCATCTATTCATTCATTCGTCAGAGAGATGAATGAATGAATAGCATTGTCAGACAAACAAACAAACAAACACCGAATATCAATGTTCGTTTGTTCATTCGGTTTAGTACAAGGAGGGAGCTACCAGCGCGCAGCTCCCTCCTTGTAACATGTAAAAAAAGAAGCGGCAGTGAGCTGTGCTCCCCGCCACTTCTTAATCCCCCCATGTCCCCCCTCACTCTATGCGGGTCAATATGACCCCATCATAGCATAAGGGGCTGCTCACTGTTTAAAAAACAAAACCCTATCATCCGGCCCCAACCCCTGCGCAGTGCGTGGGGGCCCTAAATAACAAGGGGGGACCTACTGTCCCCCCCGGCCCCCACCCCTGAGCAGTGGGTGGGGGTCCTAAATAGGAATGTGGGGGGGGACCTACTGTCCTCCCCCGGCCCCCACCCCTGAGGTGTGGGTGGGAGCCGTAAAAAACAATAAGGGGGGACCTACTGTCCCGGCCCCCACCCCTGAGAGGTGGGTGGGGGCCCTAAATAGGAATGTGGGGGGGATCTACTGTTCTCCCCCCGGCCCCCACCCCTGTTTGGCGGGTGGGGGCCCTAAATAACAATAAAGGGGGAGGACCTATTGTCCTTCCCCCGGCCCTCACACCTGAGCGGTGGGTGGGAGCCCTAAAAAACAATAAGTGGGGGACCTACTGTCCTCCCCCCCAGCCCCCACCCCTGACCAGTGGGTCGGGGCCCTATATAAGAATGGTGGGGGGACCTACTGTCCTCCCCCCCTGGCCCCACCCCTGAGCAGTGGGTGGGGGCCCTAAGTGAAAATAACACACACAAAAACTAACACACTTACTAGCAGACACACACACAGTAACACACACTGACACAAACACTAACACACACACTTTAATAACACACTTACACACACTTTTTTTTCTACCTTTGGGAGTGCTGAGGGGATCCCGTGGGGTCCAGTGAGGCCGCCCGGCGGCCGGTCCTGCGGGCACGCGAGGGAGCACTCTCCCTGAGCTCTCTGCCCAGCTCCCTCACGCGTGGCGCTTACTGATGCTGGTGCCGGAATATGAAGTCATAGTCTGGCTCCGACATCAGTGCGGTGCGCAAGGGAGCTGGGCACAGAGCGCTCAGGGGGAGAGTGCTCCCTCTTACGCCCGCACAGGGACACCAGGGCCAGCCACTAGCGTACATACTGGGTCGCAGGGTGGCCGGACCCCCTGGTGGGCTGGGTCCGGTTGCAGCCGTGACCCCTGCAACCGCAGTATGTACACCACTGATGGAGGTAATTCTCATTCCTGGGCTACCATACGGTCTGAAAGTCAACATAACCAATCTGGCAAATTTCAATGAAAACAATTAAATGGGCAAGTCTTATATTTGACCCTGTAACTTTCAAAAATACTATAAAACCTGTACATAGGAGGTACTGTTATACTCAGAAGACTTCGCTGAACACAAATATTAGTATTGCAAAACAGTAGAACGTATTACAACAATAATATCATCAGTGAAAGTACCATTTGTGTGTGAAAAATGCAAAAACTTCACATTCACTGACACTATCATAATTGTGATCTGTTTTACTCATTTAAAACCATAATATTTGTGTTCAGCAAAGTCTTCAGAGTAAAACAGTACCCCCTATGTACATATTTTATGGTGTCTTGGAAAGTTTGAGATAAATATAGTGCTAGCAAATTTAATTCTCTGGACTTTCTGCCTGGGTTGTCCGGCATGTCCTTCTAATTGTAATTAGTAAAATTGCTTATGTAAAAATATTACATAAATACACATATAGAATTAAAATATATATATACATATTTATATATTCAAAGTCTACTTGTATATTTATTAAATTATTTATGTAATTATAGATATATATATTTTTATATAAATCAGATCTTTGTATCAGATCTTTGTTCAACATTGTATTGACTTTCACTGACTTCTGGTGGAAAGGGTTTTCAATCACAAATTTTCCCCACCATACTTTTATTGTGTTCTATATATAGAAGCAAAAACCAAGAAAGTTATGGTGGGGAAAAATTGTGATTGAAAACCCCTTCCTCCAGAAGTCAGTAAAAGTCAATACGATGTTGAACAAAGATCTGCACACCAGATGTTACTAGCGCAAAGGATTCTGGGTGGGCATGGGCCAATTTGTTCAACAAGGAATCACATTTTTGCCTCATTCCATTTTAAACATGGATTGAACAAAGATCTGCACACCAGTCAAGCCATAAGACTTGCTTTTCCCACAAACAGGTGTGCAGATCTTTGTTCAACATTGTATTGACTATCCACTAACTTCAGGTGGAAGGGGTTTTCAATCACAATTTTTCCCCACCATAACGTTCGTTTTTGCTTTGCAAGTACTGCCAAGCCTCAATAGCAAGCCAGTAACCAACCTCATGCTGATGATTTGCATTAACAATGAAACAGTTGTCCAAGAGTGATTCATTGGCTTTGCATTTTTTTCCCTAAGTTGTATTTCAAAACTGTTGTATACAGCAAACACAGATTCCAATAAATCCATGTTCAAAATGGAATGAGGCAAAAATGTGATTCCTTGTTAAACTAATTTGAATATGCCAAGCCAGAATCCTTTGTGGTAGTAACATCACTGCAAATGTGTGATTTCTGTGGATAAAGCAAGTCTTATGGCTTGGCTGGTGTGCAGATCTTTGTTCAACATTGTATTGACTAAAATTTGCTGAGGGGGTACTGTCTGGACTCTCAGGCAGTCCCCCCAGACCGGGAACAACACCGATCGCAATTGGGGGGGAACAGCGGAGATCAGGTGAGTGGTGTGGATGGAGGGGATGTTCTATGCCGCCCACCGGCATTTAGGTTTGGCTCCTAAAGGACGGCATAGAGCGCCCACCATCCTTAAGTGGTTAAGACATAACGTTATCAGGTTTGATTGTGATTTTTATTTTTAAAGACGTGAGACTTTAATGGGTACAAAATTTGTTCCCTTCTATGTGGGGTGGTTGGTGGAGTCCAGATTCTAATCCTTTTTGTGATTATATACAATATTTTAGGCACCGCATAGATGATTTGCTTTTTGTGTGGGGCAGCCACACAAATATGTTAATGGCAATACTTTAATTTTAAAATTCACTAAGGAAAGTGATCCCAAATTAGTTATTTGGGTGTAACTTTGACCATTGATTTGCATGGTAATATTCAGTTTTTTATTTGTAAGAAAAAGCTGATGCCAATACAATGTTAAGGGCTGATAGTCATCATCACCCGAACCACTTGATAAAAAATGTTCCAGTTAGTTTTCGAGGCTATGGAGGAATAATTTGTCTGATCAAATGTTTTTCAAATAGTAAATGTAGTTGACCATGAGATTTACAAAAAAAAAGACTATTTGAGATGGATGGTAGATAGGGGATATAGGATAGTGTGCATAAGAATTGATCAGATTTTGTTAAAAGAGGTAGGATTAAAGTTTTCTATTAAAGGAAATCTTTTCTTGTTACACAGTAGATAAATAGATTTATGTTTATTACCTAATATAGTTTTGAGTTTGAAGCAGTTAATATTTTACAAAGGAAATTAGTCCTCCATGCTGATGATGAACTGATGCCCTTGATAAAAGAGGGCATAAGATATATAGCCAAAAACCCTCCAACTTTGGGCAAGAGGCTGTCATCAAATTTGTACATCAGGTACCGTATGGCAGTTCAAAAAACATGTTTAGTCATATTGGGAGCTACAAATGTAGTACAACACATTGTAAATGTTGCAAATATTTAAGTATTTGTCACAGCGCCAGAGAGGTGTGATCATGTGACCACATTCAATCAGCGTAGCCATGACCACAGAAAGCCTCCTAACCTATAGAGGATGCAGATCCAGTCCACCTCCTAGGGATTTGCTATATGGTGCGGCATTCTTGCAGATGCTGTCCGCCTTGCTACAGAGCATGTTTATAGCTCTGCCTCCTCGACTGACATAATTGATGCAAATGTAAGTGCATCATTGACATGTTTTATCCTAACAAGGTGAATTCTAGCCAATCACTGCCATATTAAGGCTAGTTAAACTAATTTTAGGTTTTTATCAGTGCCCTGTCAGGGTTTTCATTTACTGGTAATCACACAGTGGATTTATTTTATCTCTATTTGGCATTTTGACCTTGACTTGTTCTTGATTATTCTTATTTCTGGGATGCTTGATTTATTACCCTGTTTGACAATTCTATATTTACGTTACGTCCAGCCACTCTAAGGCCTGGTGATATGTATATTTCTATAGGGTTTACAAGATAAACCCCTCTTACGAACAGACGAAACCTAAATTTGTGTTAGCATTTTTCGGCGCTTTCCGGATCAAACTCAACTTTGAATTCTATGTGTCGTTTTGCTCAGAAATGCTTCAGACTTGAGAAAGGGAGGTTCTCCCGAAAGCTTGTCATTAAAAAATTCTGTTAGTCCAATAAAAAAGGTATTACAAGATAAGAATTTTATCTGTTTTTTACATCTATATATATATATATATATATATATATATATATAGTTTTACTTAAATACTGCATGTTGGACCACTGAATATTCTGATTGTTTAAAGCTTGTGTTGTCATTGGTTAGACATATAAAGTTTCAATGTTAATTAATTGCAAAATTAAGTATATAATATATTTATTAGAAGAAAAAAGATGGTTGCGCTCAATCAAATAAGCCACATGGTGCTGACTAAGTGTTGGTCAGCATACCCCATAAAACAGAAATCAAGCTTGATAAAGACACGGGAACAGGTCAAAATATTGCTGTGTCCATGAAATCTGCCTGAAATTATCACGAGTGCCTGAGACATTTTTCCTTTTGATATAATATATTTATTGTCTTGTATGTTTTGCAATTTACAATACGTTGGGAAAACAGAACACACATTAAATGAGAGAATCAGGGAACATCTTAACAACATTGAGATTGGAAGTTTAAAATCCAGTGTCAGCAGATAGTGAATTTCATGTATGTAGTACCAATTATTTTACGTTCTAAGGCATATAACAAGTTGTGATACCATTCAGAGGGGAGGGGGTCCTTTTATTTGTTATCAAACAAAGATTTATTGGATATTCACACGCCGAACTAGAACACAGTAAATATAGAATGGGAGTTGTGTTTTTATTTTATTTTGTGTTTCTAGGTATCCCACTATGTAAGTCTGGATTTATGTTTTCAATATGGGTTTCAATTTATCACAAAGAAAAAAGCAGTCTCTTTGGTATGAGCCACTATTGCTGGATATATTTAGTAATAATCCTTGTGAGTTTTGATTTATACATTTCGCTATTTACACTTTGGATGCTATTAATTGATTTAGCGATGTTTAGTTCACCTGCACTACTTTTAGCAAATTTGAGTATTTTTTAATCTACTTGTGATGTGTGAAACAAAGTTTCTTTAACACGTGTGCCTGTGTCCCCATGATAGATGTACATATGTATTGTATTTAGTTGAAAGAATAAACCTGGGGGATGTATTTATGCTTAATATGGATAAGTTGGTGTAGTGAAGGGGTTTACTCCAATACATTTGGATAGTTGTGTTTTCCTGGTTTCCTGTGTTGAACTAATGTTTATTTTCTTATTTATTTATTCTTCTATGATTTTTTTACTGTTTTATTTTATGGCTTTGTTTTGTTGAATATATATATATATATGTATAGTATGTAAACTGTTATGTATGTCTGTGTTCTGTAGGTGTACTTTACCTTATTGAGCAGTTTTGTGCTGGAGTTTAGTCTTTGTCCTTTCTGTGGCTGGGTCTTAAGACAATGTCAGTGTTACTGATTGATATCAGTTCACGATTGATACCAATGGATAATTGGGCTGATCCCCAGCTTTTCAGTTTTGGTAATTAGCTCTTTTGCTATAAAATCTTACCACAGTGTAGCAATCTTTAATCTTGAAGAAGTGTTTGTTTATATGAAATGCGTTGATTGCAGTGTACAGAATCCTTCATAGTTCTGTGTGAGCCTATGTGCTGTTTTGCAGCAAAGAATTAAATATTTTCAAGTGAAAACAACAAAGAAGAATGTTTTTAACACATTAGCAACACTATGCACATCTGATTTGGGAAATTGTATCTATATTCTTACATAATACGTGAAAAGGAAACCCTCATAGAAAATCAATAATTCAGCGTGGGAGGCAGAGTGTTGGAAAAAAGTAAATAAAACTTTAACGTTTCTAGTTTTTATGACATACACCGGGCACCTTAATATAGCAGGCACACTCCAGCTTTAGGAATACAGGTTTGTATTTCTACCTCTGTAGTGTTCCTTTAATTGTCCTTTTTTAGTAACTGTATATAGTAAGACCCTTCTTTTAAGAATCAGATTCTATTACATTTGTTGAAAAAAAAACCTGTAATAAGCTTAATGTTCTGAAGGGCCTGTATTTGAGTCCATTGTTGAGGACACTGGTCTGTATAGTATTTAAAAGAAGATGTTTATTAAACTGGTTTGCTAAAAATTTGATATAATTGCACTGGTGATAAATCTCTCCCAAAATGATTTTGGATGACTTCAAGTGATATAATGAATAAGTATAGTCAATTTCATGTTTTTTTTTTAAATGCAGGAAGCTTGGATCTTACATTTGCCATTGATTTTAAGGGATATAATGTACAGGTATAGTCAATGCTATTGGTACCCATCAATGATATAATGTACAAGTATAGTCAATGCTATAAGTGCATCACGTCATAAAACTGCTCAAATAGCAGGAACATAAATTTTGCAAACATTTAAGTAAATGTATATATTACAGGAAACGTATTCAGCTCAATGTATATATTACATATTAGTTATGTCAAACACACATGTAGATGGCATTCCATTTTAATTCTATATGGTGTCTGTTATCAGAAGTTAAGTAAATATGATTGTCACATATGATATGTGAAGTGGAGCATTGCAGGCACATAAAGAAAAAGATTGATAGCATTTACTTGAAGTTATTTATTGGGGTATTTTTTGTTTGTTTTTTATGCGGTGATAATACAGTAGAACCATGGGGCAAATGATCAGGGCATGTAAACATGCCTGG